AATAGGGAAATTTATAAACACTTCCAAAGGTCATGGAGCATTTCTTAAAAAAATAAACAAACATCCATACATTATTCAATATATTTAGCTGTGGCAATTTTGTATACCTTTAGGCATACATAGTCATCTCCCACACAAATATGCATCTGATCCCACATTTTGATAGTGTAGATCTGTTCACTCTAATCCTAGTCCAAACAATAAAGACATATAATCCCTCTCACCATTGCTGTCTGCTCCGTTTTCTTGAATCTCTGGCTGCTCACCATCTCCATTTACTTCGTCACACTTCTTTGGGCGCTGACGGGCTTTGGCAGCCTCCTTCTTCTTGGCTGCCTTCTTCTTGGCCAGGTCTGACGGCATGGTTGTGAAAGGCTACTCGGAAAAAAAGATGGGAAAGTAAAAATTACTAACGGTACATCCGGACCATCTGCGGTTCAAAGATTTCAGCGCTGAGGTCGCCAAGGCAGTATTAGTCATATATGGTAGAGGTATGAATCAGGGTGGATAAAGAATACTAAATAGGGTTGCCATTCAGCTACCGTCATAAAAACACACATTTTCAGATGGCTACTTCGCAGTAACATAAGTACTAAACAACATTGTCTTCAAGTCTAATGGCAGTGACAAAGAAGACCACGTTCTGGTTCTTTCCCATCACCTCACTAGAATTTCTAACCCCGGATTAGCTCGGAAGTTAGCCGCTAACAATGCTAACTTTAGCGCTACAGTTTTATCCCGAATAAATTTAAAGGAACTTGTCGTTCAGTGATAAATGGTATAACACGAACTATGTCAAACACATGAAGAGAAGAGTTTTTAGAAACAACAAAAGTGATTTAAGCGGTATCCTACGAGGTAAGCTTACAGTTAGCTACACCTGACAGGCCTGGATGCTAACTCGACTCGAGGCCCAAATTAGATGTGATTTAATCGCTAAACGGTAAAAACGAGTTCCAAAATCCTCTGAAATTCTTCTTTCAATAATAGGGATAAGTCAGGAGTTCGTGTACCAGTTGTTGAACGTTGATATATCTTTTTTTACCTAATGTCTTCGTACCTCTTATTTCGGGAGCACACTGACGTCTCGTGTCCACTTTTTGCCGGGTGGATGTAGCCGCTCTCATACCGCCAGACGAACCATATATGGTGAAGGAGGGCGGTGACAGCGCCAGGCCCCTCCCCCCTGCATGTGGGACTGCAGTGAAATGTAACGGTGGGAATTCCGATTCCTATTTGAGATCCATTTCTTTGGCTCGGCTCATTAAAGAAAAAAAAAAAAACATAAATCTATGTAAGTTATTCTATTTTGGCTCTCAATTATTTATTCATGCTAATCAAAGGAATACTAAAGAACCTTCCGTTTCAGTTCATTTTGGCTCCCCCCAGTGCAGGAGCGGAGCTAGATGGGGGTCTAAGGGTGCCCATGGTCACCCTTAGCCAATCATTGGCTACCCCTACCATTTATTTCCCTCATAATAATCTCAATCGGAATATTCAAAACATTTAAAATTTTCATATATTAACAATTACTTGACAACAAAAACACATCAAAAATGATAAGTACAGAATTCAAGCAGAAATAGATTTTTTGTTTTATGGGGGGAAGAGAAATTATTTGTCTCTGCAAGTCATCTTGGAGTCTTCTGTGAAATCATAGATAAATAACAATTTTAATAAAAACTAATTAAATTATAAATTTATGCTGATATTAGTACTCGTAAATATCTATTTTATGCAGAACGATTATTGATAAATATAGGTAAGTAATGACAATGGAAAAGATGTTTGCCAAAAACCCAAACCTGAAAGATTTTTATCCATTATACCTTTTATTTGGAAAGCACAGATGTTTGAAAATATTTGTATGTTTCTTAGCTAAGTCTTTGGGAAAGTATAGTTTGTCTTTATTTAGAAAATATGGATGGTTTGCTCATTCATTTTCAGTGTAAATTGATCATGAGGTTCTGGTTCCTATCTACTTTCGGCCACCTCTCAGTGTACATTGGTTATCGCCTGGCCATCCTTTTTTTTTTTCTGGCTACGCCTCTGCCCAAGTGTACAAAAGCTGTACTGTTGTGCTCGAAAGAAGATACCCCATTTCCCTTACCAGCCTCCGATTGGATTAAACTATATTTCTGTTTACAGTGGCTGTGTGAAAGATGGATAGTGATGCTTAGTGATGGTGAGATGAAGCCTCATGAGGCATTGAACTGTTTGGTAAAATTGCTTCAATGATCCCCACAGTTCATGAAGCTTCATGTGAACATGTCATCTATGGTCTTCCATACTCCAACACTACAGGAACTTAACTATTAATGCAGCTTGGACAGTACAGTGTAGGTTAAACGCTAAAGAAGATTAAAACTGTGACATGTGCAAATAAATGGTTTATTCATGGTCTTTAGTTATGTTAAATATGCAATGCAGCTATTATGGAGCTTTTGTTACTGCAAGCAAAAAAAGCAAAAGCTGCTAAGTGACCACAAACAGGCCAAATGTTAGGACACATTATATATGATAATTATTATTAAGTTAGAAGTAAAAATAAAATCTAACTTGTGAAAGTAAAAAAAAATATCCTGGAGACATAGCCTATTTTTTTGGAAATTAATGATCTGTTCATTTTAAGTTCTTTACCGAGATTCGTGATGAATACTTAATGTCTTCATTGCGAGAAAAATGGACCCAAAATCAGATTCCTTGGTTGTGTGCACACACAATTCTATTGAATACAGCTGATATTTTTCCCCCCAGTGTTTTATTGTCATTACACTGTCACAAGTACAGATCAACGAAACCAACTCTCTGCATTTAACCCATCCCCTTGGGGAGCAGTGGGCTGCCATTGTGCGGCGCCCAGGGAGCAATGTCGGGTTAGGGGTCTTTTTCAGGGACCCAGAGTGGCAGTCTGTGGGAGTGGGGCTGGAACTCAGTACCTCCCCCCATTTAGTATATTCTAATCCTTAACCAAAATAGAAAATGTTAAAAGTGCAATAAATAACTTATACATAGTGCATGCAGTATGTTATACTATGCATTATGTAAGCATTATGTTACAGTTTTTTACAATCACTGTGACACAGTTTTCAATACATTTAACAGGTTTCCTAAACTCTTAACGCACCAACACACCTAATACACACAATTGGCAAAACGGTTAATTTCATGTTCAAATTCACACATTGTAAATTAAACTCCAAAACTAATTTTCAAAATACAATAATACACTAACACGACACACCATGTCTAAAAGAACACTGCAAACATGTTTCAAAATCACACAATTAATCAAAACACCAACACGTGTTCTCTTCCAACAGGAACATTTAGTCAATCATAACACAATGACAAAAAATCACTATCATCGGCTGAAATGACAGAAACTGCATTATTTTATATGTGTTAGGTGTGCCCTTATACAATAGACAGTAACTGTACAAGGGCACACCTGTGTTCTGCACATGCATTTTGTTTCGTTTGCTGCAGAAAGTAGCTTTATAGAATTTACATTTTATGAAACAAAAGACAGAGACAGAATTGCTGCAGTATAAATACTTTATTTGCAAAAGGAAACTACTGCAAGATATACAATTAGAAATACTCCGGAATAACGGAAAAATACAAAAAACTTTCAATTTCATCTAGGAGAGACATTTGCTCATGTGGATGATGGTCAAATACTTTCCATCTCCAGGCAGAGAAAAACTCCTCAATGGGGTTGAGAAAAGGAGAGTAAGGAGCAAGGAGATGGGATATCATCCTTGGATGGGGATGAAACTAGGCTGTAATTGTACGGGAATGGTTGAAATGCCAAAATATATATATATATATATATATATATATATATATATATATATATATATATATATATATATATATATAGATAGATAGATAGATAGATAGATAGATAGATAGATAGATAGATAGATAGATAGATAGATAGATATAGATATAGATATGTATAGATATTGATATGTATAGATCTATATCTATATCTATTCTTTATATTCTTATCATTCGTGGGTTCTCACCGGGTGCTCCGGCTCTTTCCCAAAGTCCAAAAAAGAAGTTAGGTTAATTAGCTTCTCTAAATTGTGTTATATATGTATGTATATATATATATATATTGTTTCAATTTGTAGAAAAAAGCAGATCCCAGACATGACAAAACTAGTCATTTCCTCTGAATTGGGTGATTCTACTAAATGTTTTAGTCTTTTAGTGTTTCTTAAAGCCAGACCGTTGCCATTTGAAATGACTTTAACTTTGTGTCGTGTCTGTGATTGAATTTGTTTCTACAAAATTAAACAACTGGATGAAGATCCACGTAGCAATGGTAACACTGAAATAACACATAATAATAACACACCCTAAATAAATGCAACGTTTGGGTTGGAAAATAGATTGAATCTAAAAAATAATTATTAATATTTGTGATTGTTTTGCCATGCTTTTTTAAACATACTACAGTTTATTTGTTATTTTAGGTTTAATTATGTGGATGGATCATTTCCAAAGCTAATCTAGTTGCAAACTAACAAAATAAGTTTATTCACTTTAAAATATACTCTGAGAGTTTATCACAAGTATCTAGAAGTATCTACTTAAGTATTTATTTTGTTCATTTCATGATATTTTTGTCTGGTTTATTCTTGCTTTGTATTTTTTTTTTTACCATATTTATTTCTTTCATGCTATTTATTTCTGCCTGTCGTATTTACATTTCTTTATGTATTTCTGCCTAATTGTGCAAATGAGGAGGGGCTGAAACAATTAATTGGAATAAACGGATTAATTGTGATTAATCAATTATTGAAATAACCGTCATCTCTCTCTCCCTCTCTCTCTCCCTCCCTCCTTCTCCCTCTCGCTCTGCTTCCCTGCCTCTCCCTCCCTCCCTCTCTCCCTCTCATCCATTCATCATGCATCAATCAGAGGGAGAGAAGGAGGGAGAGGGAAGGAGAGGGAGAAAGAAAGAAAGAAAGAAATGCCTGCACGAGGGCGAGGAAGACAAGTACAAGGACAAGGGAGAGGAGTGGGGCAAGGTAGAGGGGGAAGAATAGGAATGCGTGGTGGCGCTCAAAGAAGGACCAGAGCTAAGGTAACTGATCAACAAGAGCCACAATCATTGACCATGTCATAAACCACGGGCTATAATACAGAGAGGCTGGTGAACGATTACAGCCAAATATCAGCCTGGACACATTGGCATCTATTGTCCGTATTTTCAGAGAAACCAACAGGTAGGATATTGCTTCTCCTACACCAAAGTGTAAATAAACTTTATGCCTCCAGTGTCTGATATGGAACTGCATTTTGTCTCTCTAAGGATTCAACGTCTACCTCCCTCAGGGAGCAGGGGAAAGGTCCTGAATGAAGAACAAGAACTTGCTATTGTCACCATGGTGACTGCTGATAATGAAATCAAACTGAAAGACATTTAGTCCAGAGTTGTAGAGGACAACCTTGTCTTTGGGAACATTGCAGCAATCAGCATAACATCCATCTCTCGGACTCTAGCTAAACACAGATTCCGAATGAAACATTTATGCAAAGTTCCTTTCGAAAGGAACAGTGAACACATCAAAGAATTCCGTCACCAATATGTCCAGGTAAGTTTATGCAATACAGTCATCACTATACACAGTTTGTTTTGCAGTAAACTATTCTATAAACTTAGAATACATTAGGACAAACAGTAGATTTTCAGTACAGCACGGCAGTTACATACACTGTGTCTAATTACTTTCAGAGAGTCATGGAGTTGGAGGCCAGTCAATTCCCCCATGAATTTATCTATGTTGACGAGGCTGGCTTCAACCTGGCAAAAAGGCGTCGCCGTGGGAGAAACATAATTGGCAAAAAGGCCACGGTTGCTGTGCTGGGCCAGAGAGGAGCCAACATCACAATGTGCGCTGCAATCTCCAACAATGGTGTACTCCTGCATAAATGTGAGATTGGCCCCTACAACACCGACCTTATTTTTGTAGAAGACCTGCATGAAAGACTGGTGCCAGTGGTAGAAAGGGGGCAGTTGGGAGACCATTTGCAATGTGGCATTTCAACCATTCCCGTTTCCATTTCAACAAATTACAGCCTGGTTTGATGCCCATCCAACGATAATATCTAATTTAGTTGATATTGAGTTTTTCTCAGCCTGGAGATGGAAGGTATTTGACCAACGTCCACATGACCAAATGTCTCTCCTAGATGCAATGGATGCTGCATGCCAGGACATCACAGCTGAACACTGCCAGGGGTGGATAAGGCATGCAAAAAGCTTCTTCTTACGATGCCTTTGCAGAAAAGATATCAGATGTGACGTGGATGAGAACATGTGGCCAAATGCAGAAGACCGAGTAAATTTAATTTTATTATTTTTTTATTTGTATTTTTCCGGTTTTCCAGAGTATTTCTAATAGTATATATTGCAGCAATTTCCTTTTGCAAATATAGTATTTACGTATACTGCAGCAATTCTGTCTCTGTCTTTTGTTTCATAAAATGTAAATTCTATAAAGCTACTTTCTGCAGCAAACAAAACAAAATACATGTGCAAAACAGAGGTGTGTCCTTGTACAGTTACTGTCTATTCTATAAGGGCACACCTAACATCTAAAAGATTGGAGTTTCTGTAGTTACAGTTTTTCTCGATTGTTTACACACAAATATTGGTACTTGAAACACAATGACCACAAAATGTAACTCATGCACCAACCCCCTGAACCAATTCTGCTAAACTATAAGCACAATTCCTGCTTTACACTCAAATTGCAGTTCTAAAACACACTTTTTCCAAAACTCTACACACAATTGTCATGAAGAAAATCTTTTGTTTTCACAAGGAACACACTGTTATTCAAAACTCTAAAGTTAATTTCCCTACTATGCACACTGACTCCTCACATGGGCAAACACCTAACACACATGTTTCCACTCAGCAATCAGAGCTTTAGCATAGAAGGGCAACAGGTGAGCTCTTCTGTTTTGGAGCAATGGAGGCCAATGTTGTAAACAGAGGCAGAGCCAGAGCCAGAGGAGTGAGAGTAAGAGGAGGACGATGGGGAGGACGAGGAAGGCCAAGGACAATCATTTCTGATGAGATCCGAGCAACTTTGGTTGACCATGTGGTCAACCATGGCCTAACAATGAGGGAGGCTGGGCAAAGAGTACAGCCAAATTTGAGCAGGTACACTGTAGCATCCATCATCCGGACTTTCCGCAATGAGAATAGGTAAGAAATCTACTCTCACTACAAAACTGCAGTACTGCATATCAATACAGTACTCAATGAGTACAGTAGTACAGTATTACCTGTGGACTGTTCTGTAGGACATTGTGTTTCGAGTATTTGGGAAATGTATTCCTACACAGTATTTACAGTATTGCACTCTTTGTATTGCAGAACTGAAAGATTACCAACAAGAGGTGGACGGGGCCGTCTTCTGTCTCCTGAACAGGAAACAGAGATCATGAACATGGTTCTTGAAAATAATGCCATTACCTTACGGCAAATACAAAGAAAAATAATAGAAAACAATGAGATATTTCAAAATATTGATAGGGTAAGTTTATCAACGCTGGACCGTGTCTTGCACAGAAATAAACTGAGGATGAAGCAGGTCTACAGGGTGCCATTTGAGCGCAATTCAGAAAGGGTCAAAGAATTGCGATATAACTATGTGCAAGTACGTCCTATACAGTACATTCCCACCTTTGATGCATACTGTCAACATTGTATAAATCATACATATTTCTTTCTATTATATTGTAATCATAATGATTGTGCTTCACAATAGAGACCGCTCCATGTCTACTTCTGATATTGTCATGTGTGTTTCAGAGAGTCCTTGAGCTGGAGGTGGATGCAGTGGAGCACCAGTTCTTCTTCATTGATGAGGTTGGATTCAACCTCACAAAAAGACGAAGGAGGGGAAGGAATATAATCGGCCAGCGTGCCATTGTTGAAGTCCCTGGCCAGCGCGGAGGGAACATCACAATGTGTGCAGCGATGACCGACCATGGCATCATCCATCACCATGCTACCCTTGGCCCCTACAACACTGCCCATCTGATCACATTCCTGGACACCCTACACAACACACTCATTCCACCAGATCAGATAGACGGCCCAGAGCAGCTCAGGTACGTTGTCATTTGGGACAACGTAAGCTTCCACCGGGCTGCTCTGGTTCATAACTGGTTCACTGACCACCCACGCTTTTCAGTTGTTTATATCCCTCCATATTCTCCATTCCTCAATCCTATTGAGGAATTTTTTTCTGCCTGGAGATGGAAAGTGTACGACCTAAATTCAGAAACGCGTATACCCCTTTTCCAAGCTATGGAAGACGCATGTGGAGATATAGCAGTTGATGCTTTTCATGGCTGGATTCGCCATGCTAGGCGATATTTCCCCCGCTGCTTGGCCAGGGAAAACATTGCTTGTGATGTAGATGAGGTGCTGTGGCCAGACCGAAACAGAAGAGAGGATGCAGCATAGTTTATTTTGTTTTGTTTTTTTATTATTACTGTAACTGTATACAGTAAAATCTTCTGCACTGTATGTGCAACTTTGTGTCAGTTGGGATGTACACTGTGTACATTGTTTTGTGGGAAAAATAAAACATGTTTGTTACAGTATATTTGTGTGTTCTGAGTATAAAAACAATATTCTAAAATATTTTACAACGCACTTATGTATTTAATGTCTGTAGTAAGTGTAACACTGAACAAAAAGTCATTATGATGAATGGAGAATGGTGTTTTACACTGAGCACATCAGTGTTTAAATGCTTTTTTTAATTGTCTGTTCATATGATAGTTTGTGTGTGTCATCTGAACACAAAATGGCCTTTTGTGAAGAGATAAAACTGTTTTGAATGTAAAGTTTCATTTTGCAGGAGAATTGAAGGGTTTTGCCCATTGTGTGTGTGTTTGTTGGATTTGTGTGTAGAGTTCTGAGAATACGAGGCATGTTTTCAGAAATGTGTGTAAACAATCCAGAAAAACTGTAATAGTATGCATTATGTGTTAAAGCAAGAAGAAATGTGTTAATAGTATAGCCTACACATGCAGATGTAGAGCTAACCGTGTTAAGAATTTTGAAAAATTGTTGAAAGTATTGAAAAATCTTTCATGGCAATTGTAAAAAAGCTGTATTCTAAACCCTGGGCTTCTTGGTGACTTATGTGATGCACTGTGGTGATTCTAGTAGCTTTACATTATAATTTTTAAACTTTAAAGTCAAACAAAACAAAGATTACAGAATTTCCAAATCAGAATTTCTGACTCCAAGGTCGTTCCTTTTCCAGCAGGAGCTGGCAGGTTGGACAGGCTCAGTAACAACCGACACAATGGTTCTAAATATTCACAAGTGTAAAATTGTAAAATCATATTCAAACTCTTTGTATTTATAGCTGGGATATATATATATTTTTTTAAGAAGACAAAGATCACTCGGATTCAAACACTTTTTTTAATGTAAATGAATGACGAATTACCTTACTTTCAGGGGCGGAGCTAGATGGAGGGCCAGGGGTGGCCATGGCCACACTTAGCCAATTATTGGCCACGCCTACCATTTATTTCCCTCTAATACAGACGGTGGCGGCAGTAATACTATCAAGAGGAATGTTTAAACTTATTAAACATTTTCATTTTTCATATATTAATAGTTACTTGACCACTAAAACACTGTGGTTAATTATGCACATCTAAATACTAACATTATAGTTGATATGTACAGAATTCATGCGCTTTTAAGACCCTAACTTTGTGTTATATGGGGTACAGAGAAAATTATGTGTCTCTGCAAGTCATCAAGGAGTTTTCAGTGAAATTATAGATGGAATTTAAAATGGAAAAGATGTTTACCCCAGACATTTTGTCAACTATACCTTTTATTTAAACAGCATGGATGTTTAAATATATGCATCTATTTGTAATCAAAAGGAAAATAGTAGGAACATATAGTTTGTCTTTATTTAGAAAATATCCATATTTGTTGTGCTCGTTCCTGTTGGAACAGCGTAGATGGACCGTTAGGTTCTGGCGCCTATCTGCCTTCAGCCAGCCCTCAGTTTACATTGGTTTTTGACTGGCCACCCCTATTAAAATTTTTTGGCTACGCCTCTGTTTACCTTAATTCAAAGGTTAAACGCGCCTGACTTATAGTACTACCATTGTACTGACATGGATATATAGTGCCTCGTAGTATTTATCTGGTATTGAAATTATTTTATTTTATTAGATAGCCTGTGTTCAATGGCGTAAGGACACAACAATAGGCCCGTGAGGAACATTATCTGAGTGGGCCCCATATGAAGTACAACACCCCATTCTTTCAGCAGGTCTTCTCTTCTTTTTCTTTTCTGGAATCCGCTTAAGTACCTCTTTTTGGTAACCATCGCCGCTAACACATTGTACAGTACGGTAATGGTTTCAATCTATGCTCTGGATTACCCATAATTCCAAGTTGTAGCGTAAAGAATAAAACACTCAAATACATTGTTCTTTTAAGATCTTTATTGCGGTTTGAAAGTTTATTTTTTACGAACCGTCTAATGAACTATACACAGTTATTAACATAGTAATTAAAAGTACCGCTGTCTGCTTTGTTATTGGTTTCGTGTTTCAACGGCTCAGCATCATGGTGAAATCTGGCAGGTGTTGGGGTGTAAATAAGGTCCGGTTAGTCCCTCTAATATCTACGGAAGAGGATTAGGGCCACTGAAAAAATTTAAAAAGTTAATTAATTTTTACATTTTATTTTAGTTTAATATGGGAAAAAAGTCAGAATTCTGAGATTAAAGTCAGAATCCTGAGATTAAAGTCAGAATTCTGAGATTAAAGTCAGAATTCTGTGAATAAGTCAGAATCCTTAAATTAAAGTCAGAAATCTGAGATTAAAGTCAGAATTCTGAGATTAAAGTCAGAAATCTGAGATTAAAGTCAGAATTCTGAGATTAAAGTCAGAATTTTGAGAAAAAAGTCATAATTCTGTGATTAAAGTCAGAATTCTGAGATTAAAGTCAGAATTTTGAGAAAAAAATTCAGAATTCTGAGAAAAAAGTCAGAATTCTGAGATTAAAGTCAGAATTCTGTGATTAAAGTCAGAGTCCTTAGATTAAAGTCAGAAATCTGAGATTAAAGTCATAATTCTGTGATTAAAGTCATAATTCTGAGATTAAAGTCAGAATTTTGAGAAAAAAGTCATAATTCTGTGATTAAAGTCAGAATTCTGAGATTAAAGTCAGAATTCTAAGAAAAAAGTCAGAATTCTGAGATTCAAATCAGAATTCTGAGATTAAAGTCAGAGTCCTTAGATTAAAGTCAGAAATCTGACTGAGATTAAAGTCAGAATTCTGTGATTAAAGTCAGAGTCCTTAGATTAAAGTCAGAAATCTGAGATTAAAGTCAGAATTCTGTGATTAAAGTCAGAATTCTGAGATTAAAGTCAGAATTTTGAGAAAAAAGTCATAATTCTGTGATTAAAGTCAGAATTCTGAGATTAAAGTCATAATTCTAAGAAAAAAGTCATAATTCTGAGAAAAAAAAGTCAGAATTCTGAACTTTTTTCACATGTTAAACTGAAATATAATTTAAAAAACAGTTAACTTTTTTTTTTTCAGTGGCCCTAATCCTTTTCCGTAAATATCAGGTGGGTTAAAAAGATTTTTTTTCGCACCGTTACTTGTGCAAATAGACGTCGTAGTCCACATTAACATAGGGGACCCAGCAGGTGTCAGTGACAGAGCTCCTACTACAGCCTACCGTTAGTGACGCCATTGTGTGTGTTTAATAAAGTCCTCTGTGGACAGCCCTCCTCTGAGAGGTGATGCTGCAGCAGCTGCTCTACAGACAGTTAACATGAGGCTGAAAGCGAAGTGAATGGCGCTGTTTCCACACTAACAGTGTGTGTCACAATTTTATTTCAGGAAGTCAAGAATCTGACAATGCAACGGACGAGGAGCTTTTTGCCTGCATCAGTATTTTTGTCGTATCATTAAATCGAGAGTCGTAAAAAGCTTCCTGTCGGGGATCGTGGATGTGGATCGACGTGTCTTCACTAACTGCTCGCGATGCTAGCTCGCTAGCTTCCTCCTTCATATTTGTTCCTCTTTAACGCTGTAATTTCAGACAAAACTGCTTCTAATTCGCTTCTTTCATCTTTCTAACCGGATTACCGTAAAGTAAACTTCCAAAGGTGCTATTTGCCGCTGTCTGCTAGCGTTAACACTAGCTAGAATTAGCGCAGCTAATTAACATAAGGCTGCTTTTAAACGGATGGATAAACATGTAAATAATTAACCAAACCAGTTGAGATTAATAGGGAACGGTTAGGGCGATGTTAAACTATTTGCATTCGGATGTTGCCTCAAAGTGGGCAACATTTGCTTGTTAGGAACACAGTAAAAAAAAAATCATTTATAATGGTGTAGATTAGTGTAAATCTATTAGGTAGTCGCCTAACACGTTCAAACCTAATTTAATTTAACAGAAAACAACTATAGGAGAACCGGCATGTTTTGTTTTAGCAAATTGATTAAAATCTTCTAAAATGTGTCTTAGTTGCTGCTATATTCAGGTTTAGCTCCTGTCTGTCAACCATGCGCCTTTCGTCCTTTTTGGCCGTGTTCAGGCCTGCTTTGCCCCTCATTCTGGGGCTGTCTCTGGGATGCAGTCTCAGTCTTTTGATGGTGTCCTGGACGCAAGGGGACACGGAGGACCCCTGCAGAGATGAGCTGGCTGAAGGTGGGCTCTTCCTGGGTAAAGGAGAGGCTCACAGAGGAGGGAGAGATGGAGCTGGAGAGGAGGACTTCCAGCCAAGAATAGTGCCATATCACAAGGATCCAACTAAACCACATAAGAAAGTCCTCAGGTGAGTGGAAGTCCACCTGTCCCAATATTCTGTGCCCTAAAAAACACCATGCAGGTCTGTCCATTAGTTTGTGTTTATTTAATCACAATATAAATCCTATCCAAAGAAATAGACACACCATGAAGACCAAGGATCACAGCAGGAGGGTCAGGGAGAAAGTTTTGAAAGTTAAAAGCATCTCATGGGACACAACCCAATACATCTTCGGAGAAGGTTGTTCTTCATATAAATTAAAAGGGAAAAAATATACAAGAATAAAGGGCTGAAATTATAAATTCTATTAATATTGATTTATTAGTTATTGAAATAATCTTTATCACATTTTCACCTGGAGTAACGGTACACAGACTGTACAATATGCCATCTGCTAAAAGATTAACCTACATTAGTTAATAAAACAAACCTCTACAAAAATAAATTAAAAACATTTATAAACATAAAATACCATTTTTCCATCAAAGCAGGGGGGGAGCTATTTCCCTCTAATACAGACGGTGGCAGCAGTAATACTCAAGTGGAATATTCAAAACATTTTTCATATGTTAACAATTACTTTACAACAGAAGCACTGTGGGTAATTATGCACATCAATAAACTAATATTAAAGAATGCATTCTCTTTTCAGAAATAGATTTTGTGTTTTATGGGACAAAGAGAAAATGATGTTTCTGATGACTTATTAAATAATCAATTTATGTAGATATTAGTTCTTGTAAATATCAATTTTATGCAGAACGATTATTGATAAAAGCAGGTAAGTAATGACAATGGAAAATACAATGAAGTTGAAAGTGGTCCCTTTGTCCTCCAGGAGCTAAGCCTATAGCAGCATAGAAATAGCAGACTTACCGGTACTATAAGCTTCATAAAAAGCTGACTGAGGCTAAGATATTTTTTTTTTCAGAGAATAATGGGGAAAAACATGTCTCTCTGGACTCTTAACAAATCATTTTGGGTAATCCTCGCCTATTTTGATACTCAAATGGAAAAGCAAATAAATGAGGATCTTTAGGCCCAAATTACACCTGTGATACATCAATTGAAAGCTAACACCTTCTAGTTTCTTAAAATAATAGGTCTTTTTTGAACAGCAGTAATAGAGAACATGCATTGGAATAGGCATGTCTCATTGCATTACATTTGTCCTTCATCATGTCAACTACAACTGCAGAAAATTTCAGACCTCTAAGTATAACAGTTCCAGAGCTGTGGGGCTTTGAACTTTTGGTGTCACCAATGTTTCTGAGTTGCTAGTCGTAAACGCTTTAAAAAATGGTCGCCGCAACCGGGTGGATTTTAAAGCTCTTAAATACAAAAAGTATCTCAATAAAAATGCAGGACACAATTTTATATCTATATTTATTAGACAGCCACAATAAAGTACTGTTTGTTTCACCAGAACAAGATATATCCACACTGAACTGGGCATCAGAGAGCGGTTGTTGGCGGGTGTCCTCACCTCCAGGGCCACCCTCAACACGTTAGCCGTGGCAGTGAACCGCACAGTCGCCCATCACTTCCATCGAACCTTTTTCTTCACGGGCTTACACAGCCCCAAGGTGCCCCGTGGGATGACAGTGATAGCCCACGGCGACGACAGGCCGGTGTGGCTGATGTACGAGACGGTGCGACATCTCCATCAGCACTACGGCTCAGAGTACGACTGGTTCCTCTTAGCGCAGGACGACACCTACATGCAGGCGGGTCGCCTCTCAGAGCTGGTGGGCCACCTCAGTGTGGGTCAGGACCTATACATGGGCAGGGCTGAGGAGTTCATTGGAGGGGAGGAGAAGGCGCGTTACTGCCACGGGGGCTACGGCTACCTCCTGTCTCGCAGCCTTCTGGCTCGTTTGCAGCCGCACCTCGACACCTGCCGCAATGACATCCTCAGCGTTAGACCTGATGAGTGGCTGGGCCGCTGCATCATCGACTATTTGGGTCTAAGCTGCGTGGAGGTGCACCAGGTAACTACAGCAGATTGTTTGCAGAAACATTACAGACAAATGTTGCCATCTACATTTTTATCGTCTGTGTGACTGACAGGGGATGATGTACCGTTACTTTGAGCTGGGGAAAAACGCAGATCCGGAGCGTGAAGACAGCCTTACGTTTAAAAATGCCTTCACAGTCCATCCTGTGTCGGACCCCATCCTCATGTACCGTCTACACAAACGCTTCAGTCAAATAGAGCTGGAATGGACTTATCAGCAGATTCAGGATCTTCAGGTTTGTTGTGTTTTACTGTATTATGTATATAACTGCTAAAAAAAAAAGGCACACAGGTACGTCCCATTTTTAACAGGACTGTGTCACAGCTTTCTTCTTTTTACTCCACCCTAATAACTGCATGTACAAAAGCAGAATTTCCTGATTGATGAATTATTCACGCATGTAAGTAAACAGGTGAAGGTGCTTTGTTGAGACATGCAGGATTAAACGGCCATGGAGGATAATCTGCAGTATTATCTGCAGGCGCTCACTCAGTGTTCCAGCTTGGCATGGAAACTAATCTATAAATTGTAATATGAAAAATTGAACTCGGTATAGAAGAAAATTTGTGTTTAAAGAATAGTTTTATTCACCCCCTGAAAATGTATAAGTTGGACTTTATTGACTGCAGATGTCAAAAGAAAAGAGTTGATATAGATTAGTAGGAGATATAAAATATATTTATTATGACATTATTACAAGGAGTTCTTCCCTAAGGCATAATTTCACATTCTTGATATTTTTGGTTCATAGGAAAAAACATGACCTCATCATCTCAGAAGTTTGAGCTTTCCCACTTTGAGATAACAAATAAAAAAATTAAAAAAATTCAATTAAATTAAAATAAGATTATTCTTTTCTCAACGCACTAAGATAATGTAATCAATGTAATGTAAATACCGCAGAATGGGAGAATATAGAGAGAGCGATGGAAAGGAGTCCCTTTGTCCTCCAGCAGTCTAAGCCTGTAGAAGCACAAATGCAGAAATAGCTTAGGAGAAGTATGTTGGATGAGGTATAAGAAAAGTAGAGCCAAGGTGAAACGTCTATCCGGACTGAAATTCTCCTCCGATCGGGCCGGTAATGCTCTACCTCCACCTACCTCTCTCAGAGTGATGTTAAAAACATGACTCTGTTTTTAAAGGGATACACCGTTTTTTTTTTACATTGGGCCTTGATTTTACGTTATTACATCATGTTCTACTCACCCATATTAGTTTTGTGTCAGCTGGAGCTGTTCTGAAGATATTCCGTTATATCCAAGTAACGTCTTCCTATGGGCAACGACTTGAAGGCACAAACTGAACTGTTCATAATTTATTCTGTATGGTACACAAGCATTCATAACATGTAGGCGAATCACTGTCCCCCAAACATTTGCGGTTATATTTTTAATATTTTTTAAAAACAAAGCGGCGTTCTACTTTTAGAAATTCTAGGAACCACTAGTAAATCTGCAGATTGAGAGCGAAAAGCTCTGTTAGGAACATAAGGAACAATCAGATCTCTGATATCAGATGGAGCTTAACCATTTAAAGCTTTATATGTGAGAAGGAGGATTTTAAATTCTCTTCCGGATTTAACAAGAAGCCAATCAAGAGAAGCCAGGATAGGCGAGATATGATCTCTCTTTTTAATTTTCATCAGAACCCTGGCTGCAGCATTTTGGATCAGCTGAAGGCTTTTAACTACAGTTAGTGGACTTCCTGATAGTAAAGAATTACAATAGTCCAGCCTTGAAGTAACAAATGCATGGACTAGTTTCTCAGCATCACCTCTGGACAGGATATTTCAAATTTTTGCAATATTCTGCAGATGAAAGAAGGAAATTCTAGAAACCTCTTTGATATGGGATTTAAATGACAGGTCCTGATAAAAAATAACACCAAGATTTTTTACTTTATTATCTGAAATCAGTTTAATCCCATTCAAATGAAGTGACTGACTTATCAGCTTCTTTTTCAGAGACTCTGGTCCAAAGACTGTAACTACTGTTTTGTCTGCATTCAGAAGGAGAAAGTTAAGAGTCATTCAGGTTTTTATGTCTTCAAGACATGCCTGTAATCTATGTAATGGGTTAGCTTCATCTGGATTTATAGCCAGATATAGCTGGGTATCATCAGCATAACAGTGGAAATTAATCCCATGCTGTCTAATAATTCTACAGATTGGGAACATTTATATAGTAAAGAGAACTGGTCCTAGCTCTGATCCCTGTTGTACTCCACAGGTAACCTTTGAGCATGAGGAAGATCTATCATTAACATGAACAAACTGAAACGGATCAGATAGATAAGATTTAAACCAGTCTAGTGCTGTTCCTTTAATTCCTACAAAATATTCAAGTCTTTCTAAAACAATATTATGATAAACTGTATCAAATGCAGCACCAAGATCTAACAGGTCAAGTACAGATACATTATTGACTTTCATCAGAGCTGTTTCAGTGCTATGATGAGCTCTAAAGCCAGAATGAAGCTCTTCAAAATGTTCCCTTTGGTGGAAGTGGTCACACACTTGTTTGGCAACTACTTTCTCAAAAATTATAGATAAGAGAGAAGATTGGATATAGGTCTATAATTGATCACCTGAATCGAAAGGCTCAATCCCCTCATTTAGCCCAGCAGAGGCAAGGTAATGAGCCACTCATTTGATTCAGGTGTGTTGAAAATGGAGTACATCAAAAAGTTGCAGCTTGAGCACCCCTGAGTTACAGCAACCTTAAAAGCCTGAGGTACATATCCCTGTAACTGGAAGAGGTTAATCACATCTAAAATGAAGAAAAACAAACTTGAGATTTTATTATCTGGAGATGGTTAGGCAATAAAGTAATAAAACATGTAAGAACAAGACATTAAGATTAACCTTTAAGATGTTATTTTCTTCAACTAAAAAACAAAACAGCCTGACATGATCAAAGCATAATGTCATATTATGTATAAATAATTAAAACTAATAAATTACTCTTTTATAGCAGGAATTAGCTTTGACACATTGAGATAATGAATAAGCAGTTGTAGCTAAACACGATTGTGGTCTTGCTCTGCTTCCCCAGGGTGACGTGAATAAATGCCTTCAGTAAAAAACAGGTTTTAAGCTCCTTACTGATGCAATGAGTTAGTAACCATGTTATATGGGAAAAAAACGATCTCACCATCTTAAGATAAAATCCCAAAACATCAACTCAAAACAAGCTTAAGGTCTAAAGTTAAAATGGTGATGAAATTCAATTGTCACAAAAGCTTAAATTACAGTAAAATGAGCGATATTGCAGAACAAAACCCAAGCTTTAGAGTTCTGCATTATAAGAAAGATGGCAAAACTGTAACTACAACACACAGGTCAGAGATAATATATCTAAATAATATTCAGAAAATGATTTATTATCTGTAAATAATTACAATAAGCTCTTAGAGGCCATTTTAATGAAGATATGAAACCATAATGAAAAGACAAGCTTGAGGTCTTGTTAATAAAGAATCTAATTGTGACAACAGGAGTTTAAAATCTACCATCTGCCTCCTTAGACAAGCGACAAAGTTTAACATTTAGCTGTTATGAGATACTGCAGCTATAAACACATCAGTCAATCCTTATAGGTAATATGATGGAAAAACTGTTGTGGTGACTTAACAACCTTAAGGTTTCATCAAGTCATCAAGATCACATTCATCAATGAATAATTCAATAAATAAGCAACAACATCCATCATGTTTGATGTAATAAATAGATTCTGGTTACAGAGTAGTATACTAGATTTTAACAAAAATGATTTTTGCTGGGATGTCAAAAAACATTTTGATTTAATTTTAAATGAACCAATACTCCCTCTGGTTGGTCTGTTTTGTGTCCATTAGATGCAGATCAGCAACCTGAGCCACCTGACTCCTGAGGGGAAGGCAGGGATCACATGGCCAATAGGAATCAACTCCCCCTTCAAACCCAAAACCCGCTTCGAGGTCATAAACTGGGATTACTTCACTGAGGACCACATTTACTCCTGCACTGACGGCTCGCCTAAATGCGAGATGAGAGGAGCCGACCGAGCCGATGTCAGCGCCGTGCTTGAGGTCGCCGTGGAACGTCTCAACAAGCACTACCAGCCACAGCTCCGCTTCCGCAAAGGCCGCCTGCTGAACGGCTACAGACGCTTCGATCCCACGCGTGGTATGGAGTACATCCTCGACCTGGCGCTGGAGGCTTTCACCCAGAAGGGCCACAGCCAGGTCATCGCTAAAAGGGTCAACCTGCTCCGACCCCTTAGCGCCGTAGAGATTATCCCCATGCCTTATGTTACAGAGGCCACACGGGTGCAGGTCATCCTGCCGGTCACCGCGCAGGATCAGGACTATGTCGGCAACTTCCTGGACATGTATGTGACAAACACTCTGGACACCCACGACAACGTGTTACTGACCTTCCTGTTCATCTACGATCCCTTCGACGCTCAGAGGGTCAGCCAGACTGACGTGTTCGCCGGCGTCAAGTCAATGATCGCAGAAGTGGAAAAACGTTACGGCGACGTGAAGATTCCCTGGATTAGCGTGAAGACTGAGGTTCCCTCACAGGTCAAGCTGATGGACATCATTTCTAAGAAGCACCCTGTGGACACTCTTTTCTTCCTGTCAAGTGTTTGGACCGAGGTCAATGCAGACTTCCTGAACCGCTGCAGAATGAACGCCATCAGCAACTGGCAGGTTTTCTTCCCCATCCACTTCCAGGAGTACAACCCCGCCGTCATCTACCGCGACCAGCAGCCGTCCGCCGCCTCCACCTTCGCCTCGGAGTCTCTCCGAGACGGCCACTTCGACCGGCACATCTTCGACGAGGCCTGCTTCTACAACGCCGACTACATGAGCGCCCGCACCAAAATGGCCGCCGACATTTTAGAGAACGAGGAGCTGATGGAGACCATGGACGTGTACGACATCTTCGTGCGTTACTCCGGCCTGCACGTGTTCAGGGCCGTGGAACCCGCGCTGATCCAGAAATATGTGCGGCGAGCGTGCAACCCTCGCTTCAGCGAGGACATCTACCACCGCTGTGTAATCAGCAACCTGGAGAGCCTGGGGTCCCGATCGCACCTCGCCATGGCTCTGTTCGAGCAGGAACAGGCCAACAGCAC